AATATGATCGTATTTATTATATGTTAAATATAACATGTTACTTCCCTATTATTATTCAATAATTTATAAATTCATCTAAACGATCGGTTAATTTCTCRCCCAAATRATACAGMTCTACTMAGGTAAATTTTGGGTTATTCGCCCAAATGAATGACGCCCCTTTGCACACCCTTCATCGCCTACCTGGAGGTCCGTGTCACAAAATGACAACGGATTATGGTATTGTCATCCAAGACCAAGATCAATACCAATTTTCAGAATTTTTCATCGTCAAAAAGTGCCTCAAATCGAGCGCGCAAAATTTAATTATACAGACAAACAGACGTGAAAGCGACCTTAAGAAAAGGGTGTAATAAATTATCTACTCTGTAATAGAATGCGTGATTGTAATATAAATTTAAGTTTTAAATCCCAAATACTCAATTTGGATTTAGAAATAAACACTCAACCCTCCACCAAGTCCATAAAATTGCAGATAACATTGCTTCTTCTCTAGAAAGAAAATATTGTGTATTTATACACAATTTTATATATTTATATTTTATATTATACCAAAAGAAAATCAATGAAACTAAAACTACATAAACTTCGTCGATTTCTCCGTTCTAAAATACTACTTAGTGACAAAGCTCTTGCAGTATACAAACAATTAATTCGTCTTACATTGACATACGGTATTCAAATCTGGGGATCAACCAAAAACTCAAACCTAAATCTTCTCCAATCCTTTAAGTCGATTAGTCTCCGTCTTCTGACAAATGCACCTTGGTATGTTATAGTAATCATACAATCCATAAAGACCTTAACATTCCAACTCAACACACTACAAAAAATTTCATTCTAGAACAAATAATCATCCAAACCCGCTAATTTCAAACCTCTCCTCTAAGACTCTCCCGAATAACCCTCCCCGTCGACTAAAACGAAATTGGCCTGGTGATTTACTTCGCTAAAAAAAAAGACAGTTTGAAGTAATGTCAATGGACGCATCCTTCATTCAAGCCTCCAATAAACTTTGTAAAAAAATCTCAAATTTACTTATTGTTTTATTATATTACAGATTGTAAATACATTTATTTATAAATAATAAWAAAAAAAACACCCATCAGTAATTTAGAAGTTACTACATATCTACGTAATTGTATAATTTAATATTTTAACTTATATTTTATTTATATCATATTATAAACTATATACATACCATACTTTTATTCTATTGACTATTAGTATAAAATTAATTGACAATAACAGAACCGGATTGGTTAGGCGAGCTACCGAGAAAATCTCGATGGGCCGCTTAAAGTTAGGGCCGGTAGTGTCAGAGTGTGAAAATAAATACATGTTAGAATAAGTAAATAAGTTTGTATCGGTTTTAGACGTAATAAACCAATAAAAAATAATAGAGGCCCAAATTTTGGGACAGTGAATAATATATAAATGGGCCGCTTAGAAGTGAAAATCTCGATGAGCTGATATATACCAATCCGGCCCTGGACAATAACGAAGTTTAAAAATGTTTGTAGTTATTATGTTATAAAAACTTAAAAAAATAAATATTTTGAACGATTAAACCACAGAAATTATATAGGTAACCACCTATACTTTTATAATATGTATAGTAATATATCTGTGATTCTATATAGCCTGTGATACCACTATTGTATGCTACCGCGGGTGCCGTGAACAAAATATATAATATAATATTATTGACCTATTAATTTATCAAAAAAAAAAGTAAGCACGTTTGAATAGTGATAAGAGTTAGCCTTAGCAATCGTATGACGTCACCTTGATGTATTTAACAATAACATCACAGTATAGACCACGACAGTGACACACCGTTGTGAAAACAAGCATCTGATTAGCTGATAGTCGATATTCTACACTCAAGACTCAAGCCTCAACAGTCAACACTTAAACAGTTTCATCTATAGGATTTGATAGTTTGATATTACTGCCACACAGATTTCTATAATCCTATATTGCGTTCAATATTGAAATGTTACTGAATAATTAACCTCTTAATCACGTATATTTTGACAACTGACAAACGATATTTGTGCTAGAAGTAATAACTTTGATATTTGAAAAATTTTGTCCTTGTGTTTTCCCATTGAGCATTGTTAATCAAAAATAATACAAAATGTGTGCTAAAATGGCATTTACTCATCAACCTGGCACAGCCATGGAATGCCTCAGTGTAAGTACCTAAATTACAGTTTAAAGTACAATGAAATAACATAGAAGTATATATAACAATTTGGTATTTTTCAATTATAAGTATATTAATTAAATATCATTTTAGATACCTATTACTTTGACGAAAGAATCTGCAATTGATACTGATGGTCGTGAATTGTTAAAATGTGGATTCAAAATTGGTGGAGGCATTGATCAAGACTTTAGGAAAAGTCCTCAAGGATATACAGATAATGTGAGAACTAAGATTTATTGAATATTTATTATTTAATAAATATCTAGTTTAAAAATTTTACAATTTTAACTTTTAAGGGTATTTATGTTACTGAAGTACATGATGGAAGTCCCGCATCTAGGTCTGGATTACGAATACATGACAAAATATTACAAGTACATCCATATAGTATAGAATATTAGTTTAGTATTAATAATTTAATTACATTTTTCTGAAATTGTCTTTTAGTGTAATKGATATGATTTTACAATGGTAACCCATAAAAAAGCTGTGGATTACATTAAGAAGCATAAAATACTAAATTTATTAGTTGCTCGAAGAGGTGTTACATCGACCTAAAATATTGAAAACTTGTAAAAGTCATCTATTAT